CTTTTGGCAGATACAGTGTTTTGAAGACTATAATTGCACCTACAGCTCTGTGACATACCAGTAACACATGCCCTTGTCTCAGCAAGGAGTGGAAGTGAGTGAGTACAGTGCAGTAAACATGGTTTCAAAACCAGCTTGGACGTACGCATTGTCTTACAAAAGATACTATATGAAAAATACCAATTAAGTTCTCATAACCAACGTAGATAATGAGGCATCCTACTGCGAAATTGTAGATGAGCAGATAAATAGCTTTCTTGAGAAGGAAGATGTTTTACGAAAGTGTTCCAAGGTAACTGAGGTGAATGTAAACATCCAGTGCATCCCCTGTGATTTCTGTGTTAACAAGCTTTAAGCTTATGGGTAACAGTATCTGGCTTGGCATTTTCCTGGTCTCTGTGTTATATCACTCTCAGGATTGCTCTCAGATGTTGTATATTTTTATGGTGTTTAAGCCTCAAAAGTTTGGAAAATTCTTTCATGGGAAAAGTGCTTTCCATTTGACAACACCCTCCAGAGGTGAAATCTGGGGGCTTATTTTGTGTTTACAGATTAATTTTCCTCAGGTTTCCCTTGTTGCTTAACCGCCTCACCAAACATATGTATATTGTAAGCAACAGTTTATTTTCCAGTAACCAAGTGAGTCAGTGTAAGTGACCAGACACCTCTAGATATAGATAAGCACTTTGTGTTCTTCCTGAACATCTTACACACAACTACAAGAGAACAGACATTACAAACTAACAAATCTTCTGAAACCTGAACTACATTTTTAAATAACCAGAGTTAGACATACATTTTTAGGTGGAGTCAGCTAACAAAATTTAACAGAGGTCAAGCATGGGTCCCTGCCTTGTGCATTATATCATCTATTGACATTTTAAGCAATGAGCAGTACAAGAACAGTAGTTTTTCCAGTACTAGAGTTACAAGGCCATTGTTGTCTGTGGGTATAACTCCAATTTAATATAAAATTTGGCTCATTGTCAGTAGGCAAAGAGCATTGAGGAAGTATTTTTTTCTGTAATTGAATATAAGGAGATTACCTAAGAAGTGCCAGTCCCTCTACCCATTGTTGTAATTACTGTGTTAGTAAAATACTTGGATTTTTCCATGCTGTTGAAAACTAGGTACACAGCTGTTTGAAAATTGCACTGAGATTATACCTGTAAATTTCCAGACAGATTTCATCCTGATGCATTGGCCAACATTCTTCCTGTCTGCTAATATTCTGTATTCTTATTTATGTCTATTCTTGGAAAAGTCACTTTTTTGTAATATCCTACTGAGAGGTTATTTAGTGAGATGTTCCACATTTTCAGTCAATAATGCTGCTTTGAAGCTGACGGCACACTTCCTATTTTAAGGCAAAGTTGTCTTTCAGTTATCACCATACCCTAACAATTTGACTACAACTTGCATGCCAGCTCTCCAGGAAAAAAAAAAAGAAAAACAGTTACTTTTAGTATTTTCGGAAACAAACTGGAGAAATGCTTACAGTAAATTCTTGAAGGCTTTTCTTCAGAATACTCCAGTGTTTCAGGTTTTGCAACAAGTGCTTGCAGTTTACCAGTAAAGTGCTCTTCACATCAAGTGCAAAGACACCTTTGTGACCCTCCCTGAAAATCTGTCCAAATTGGCTCAGTTGTATGCCTTTGAAAAATATGTTTGTATGTGGTCACCGCCAGTTCTTAAAAGCTGAATTAGGTGAAACCTGTTCTCATTGAGAGAGTAAGCCTCTTGCAGTTCCTGTGTGGGGCCAGCCTGTGTATGTGTAATTGCTGCAGGTAAATGAGTACGATGAAAGCCACAGGGCAGCAGGACAACTCATGTAATGGTTGCTCCAGCTGCTTTTCATTGGTTGAGCTGCTGCCTAGATCAAAAAGCAGAAATTGTCTCCCACACATTCTATGGACTACTTTGGTGAAACATAAGTGAATGGAAACATCGAATTTGAGTGAAAACAGAATAAAAGTCAAGGGAGTGAAGGATAGCTGTGATCAAGAGCTGATGGACTGTATAAACCTGTCCTCTCAGGAGCTTGTAGACAAAAAAACTCGCCTCTCCCATGCATTAGTCACATTATTATAGCTATGGGCATTGCTAGGCCAAATATTTTGGTTTCTAATTAATGCATGGGGACTTTTTGATACTTCTGTGGGCTGGGTGAAAATCCATGAGAACTTGTGTTCATAACTGTTACCCTTAGTTTACAAAGATCTTAAAGGGAAAAGGAAAGCAAACTCTATGATAAAGCCAGGGTGTTGGAACATGAAGAGGCTCCATGGAAAACAAGGGTACTTGCAAGGCCAGAGAACATGTGGCTCAAAGAAAGAGTCTACAGAGCTTTGATTAAATGATGAAGGAGTGGGGAAGTGTCAACCAGTGAGAAAATACTGTCTTTTGCTGTTCTAGGAAGCAGGACTATCCTGTGTATATGCATTAGAAAGACTTCTTGATTCCAACGTTAAGTTATTGCTAATTATCCAGGTTGAAAGATGCCAGAAAACTGCGTTCCCAACATTTCCCAAGCAGTGGAGAACTGGTTCTGTAATCCAGTGTTTTAGTTATCCACGGTGCAGTTCTGGTGGTGCAGTCTGGTTAACAACAATTTCATGTTTTTTAACGGTTAAGGGGTCAGACCCTAGTGCTCTTGTCTGTCTATCTCCAAAGAGGCTCCATGTCACTGACAGATAGTTGCAAGGCTGCACATAATATCTTTAAAAGATAAAAATCTTCAAGAGGAAATATGCTATATTAAGTCCTATTTATTTTCATTCATATAATTTTCCATTTATTTAGACAGCAATATTAATTTTATTGTATTTTTTATCTCATCATGTGCCTTTGGTACTACGTTTTCATTCTTTTGAGTATTTTACTTTCTTGAGCTTTTGGGCTTTTTACTATTTAATTTTTTTGAGTATTATACTTTTTATTCCTTGGAGTTCCCCAAAAGAAAAAACAAGACTCAGGTCAAGTGTCTTGCCTGATTTAGTACACTGTATATATTACAGATGAGATAAACATTCATCTCTGTCCTGCTACTGGGAAACCATGCTATCAGTTGGTGGATATCAATAGCAGTCAATGAGCAGCCTATCTAGCCAAATTTATGCTCTTTTAAAATAATGCACTGAAGGATTCTCGTATTTTAAATACTTGATTAAATGCTGAATCACTGATGATCTTTCAAGAGGAAGAAATGAGTTCAAGAGAAGGGAAGGCATACATTTTTACCAAGATTTCTTAGTATAGTCTGATATGCCTTCCTTGCTACTCTCCAGAGCATGTCCTTCTAAGGTGTGCCATTTCTATAGGGAAGAATGAAAGGCAGAAAGCCAAAAAAGTCTGAAAGACCTCATACTGTATTTCCAAAAACTAATCCAAATCAGTCTCAAAGTGGTCTTTGTCAGGTGCCAGAGAAACTTTAACACTGAATAAATTAACAAAAGAGTCTTCTTTATTAGTGTTTGTATCAAAACAAAGTCCCAACCTAACCTTTCAGTGGGAGAGTGTTACCCAATAGGCTGCACCACCTTCCAGCAATAAACATACATAATAAACATTGACACAGCTTTGGAACAATCTCTTGCTGATCTTTTGGTTGGGATATGTTGGCCCAAATTAGGGACAGGATATGTACAGGAATGGGAGGCAGGCACTGGCACTGCTGCTACCTGTCAGTTGAGGTTCTATTCAGTGTATACCCTTTTAGTGCAGCAATATAAAATTTAAGCATCAGTACCTTTAAATTAAAATTAAAGCAGACATCCAATATTAACAATATCGTACCCTCTAAAAGTTTCTAACAGCCATGTTTATCCCACAAGTTTTTATCCCTGTCTGCATTCTTTATGGGATTTTCTTAAGCCTTCTCTGGCCTCTCAATTAATTCCCATAAGGGTTGTTTTAGTTACATTGTTGCTCTGTATGTAAAATATCTGGTTTGTTTCTGGTGAGGTTCCTGTAAGTATTTTGACAGTAGACCTTGGGAACTGAATGGACTATGGGCAAAATTATTAAGTCATATCTGACACAGTGCTTCAAAAATTGTCAATCGCATACATCTTTTTTGGTTGAGGTAGTTCTCCCTTCTGCTCTATTTTGGCCTTCTCTGGGTGTTACATAAAAGGGGAAGAGGAATGGTTCTTTTTTTGCTTGAAGTTCCCAATTTGGAGTGGGAAACTACTGAGCACGAAGACCCTGGATGACATCCCACCTGCCAGAAAAACTGCCCTCCTCCAGCTGGGACACCTATTGCCATGTGTTTGCCATACTTAACAAGCAAGGCAAGCTGGTTTGAGTCAAGTCAATTATGAAAGGAAGAATACAATACACTGAATTCACACTTGCTCTCTTTTCAGCAGCAATATCTGTCTTGGTTCTTAGAAAAAGGGCAGCTGGAACTGCTGTGCCCTCAATTGTGTTACAAACGAGAAGCGTCAAGAAGCCTGTATCCTCGTTTTCTGCCAGAAAAACTTTGGCCGTTACCAGCTGTTAGTTTTTAGTGGGGAAATCAGTGACTGGCCAAGTTTGTGGAAGGGATGCCACGTGGAAAACACGGCGGTTCGTTTCTAAGCGCTCTAACTGCTAAAAAAGTTGAAATTGGTGCAGAAGGCTCAGGGACGGGCTGCCGCAGGGAGCCAGCCCCGCTATCAGCCCCGCCGAGCTGCGGCGGCAGCGCTGGCTCGGGCAGATAACTGTGGGTGGCCCCGCCGAGCCCGGGGCCGCGTTCTGCGCCATGGGGAGAGCGGCGGCTCTGCCCGGCCTCCGCACCCGGTGGCGGGCGGTCCGGGGGAGCAGCCGGAGGCGGCAGGAGCTTATTCCGCTCGCTTATCCCCGGGAAGGGGCCTCCCGAGCGCGAGGGAAGCCCTCGGGGCTGAGGCGGCCGCGAGGACGCCCCGCGCCCGGGCCGCCCCCCCCGCCCGGCGGCCGACGAGCCGCCATCTTGCGGCTGATCCCTCCCCGCCGGCGCCGCCGCGCAGCCCCGGCCCGCCCGCAGCCCCGAGCCCCGGCCCCCGCCCGCCCTCCCGGGCCGCTGAGCCGGCGGCGCGTGCCGGGCTGTCGCTGGCGGGGCGGGCCGGGGCGGGCCAGCCCTCCCCTCCTCGGTACCGGCGGCCTCGGCCTTAGAGAGGTTCTCACTTTGGCAGAGTACGAACCCTCCCCGCGCACTCCTGTGCGTAGGCGCCTGCCGAAAGCTGAGTAGGTAAGCTGCCCGCTCGTCCTTCGCCGGTTTCTGGCTGTATTTGCTGTTGAGGCAGCTGTCGCACAGGGCACTGCTGCTGGGTTTTTATCTTTGAGCGAAAACGATGTGTGCTCGTAGGTGACCATGAGAAGGAGAGCAGTGATGGGCAAGGAAAGGGCAGGCGAGAGGCGTTCGTTTTGTTGTAGCTTTCTCTCTGCGGGTCAAAGGATTTTGCATCCCAGTTTGGCAAGTGATGCAAGTGAGCTGCTTTTTAAGGGTTTCTGGCAAGAAAATATAACCTGCCTTTTGGAAAAGGTATGCTGTTGCTTCAGAAGTATGTATCTATCTGCTGACAAGCCCAAAGATGAGCCTAATTGAAAATTAAGGGGAGGCGTGTTTCCCATTTGTTTTCTGGGTTGATATTCTGTGCTGCTGGCAACTGTTGCTTCATTTGGGCTTGTCTGAACTCCCACACTGCCAGAATTTGATGTGACTTGAAGTGTTGCGGTGTGAGCTCTGCCAGTGGTGCCCAGGGCAGGCCTCGGCGTCGAGGGTTTCCAGCACACGCAGCTTCCCCCGCTGCTCCACTGCCAGGTGCCTTCTTGTTGTCGCATCACAGGAGAAGAATGAAAAAGGAAACGTGATCTTGAAAAACAGCTACTCAGAGACATGTAAGGTCTGATATTTCTTGCGGTATTGTCTAGATTTGCAGATAGGGGTGGCCCACTTCTGGGGTTAATTGCTGTTGCAATATTACCCTTTCTCTGTTTTCTTAGCCCATTAAAGAGAAGAGTAAAAATCATGATTAACTTGAAAGAATAGGAACTGCAGTAATCACTTCTTCCCACTTAATTTTATCATTGTATCTCCCTACAGTTCCTTCCTCTTTGACTTACTGCACAAATTTTGACATGAAAATGCTTGTGAAGATGCTTAATCTGAGCTGAGGATGATGTGCTAGAGCTTCCACAAATGTAACTCTTCCTGCCTCAATTCTACTTTCAGCTTCCTGAGTAAAATAACGTGTCATCCTTGGGATGTTTCCACATTGCATTAAAGTAGGAAAGTTTCTGAGGTGCATTAAAGTAGGTCATATTGTGGGATATAATTTATGAACAATGTGCACAGCCTTGCCAGTGTCACCACATTATCCTAAGAGTGATTATCAGTTGAAAGCTTAAGAGTGAGAAACCAAAAGGAGGATGTACGTTGAGGTTATCTCTTCTATTCTCTCATACTGTCTTTGAATTTCATTGAAAAAGAAGATGAAAGGGATTTTCCTACTTGTAAAGGAGACAACTTCTCTATTTCTGTACTTGGAGGAACCTGATGTTGCTTAACTCACAGCTGCTGGAAAATTAAGTTTCTGGTCTGGTGAATTTTAACACTTTACAAATACTGACAACCTGCAAGAGAAATGGGCAAATGTCAGTGCTCCAGTTTGTTTCATGGGAAGTGTAAACTGCACTTACTCCCTGCTCTGTCTGTACTGTTGGTCTTCATACAAGGCTTCCTCTTGTGCTGGCTCTACTGTCCTTCCTTAGAAATGCAAGTTGATGGTCTGGCTGCAAGCAGCTACGCTTAACACAGTGGACAGCAGATAAGGCAGCATTATTCCTAAAAGCTTTGTCTGTATTGGCCTGCAGTTCCCAACAATGCAGCTGTGGCTGAGTGTTCAGGGATTCAATCCTCAGTCTCTGAAAGGATAACCACAAATCATATCCTATGGAGTCAAAGCTAAGTGCTTTCCCTTGGAACTGTGTTGTATTTCCTTATTTTAGGGTCATTATTTTGTTACATCTACTATAAGAACAGATTCTTTTCTGTGTCGAATACATCAGGTTTCAGTTCTGCATAAGATCATTATCTTTGATTTCATTGAGGACTGTGATTGGAGACAATTTCACTCTTGTGAGATGCTAGTCTGAGTTAAGCCTGAGCTGTAATAAGGCTGTATATTAAATCTGCAATTAGTCATTGCATAATCTCACAACAGTTATATAAATGCCTGTATCCTGTAGAGCAAAAGGCACTGAGATATACATTTACTGTGTTAAGCAGCATGCTGTGCAAGAGCTTGCATTTCTGGAAAATACTGCTCTGCAATAATCTGTGTTAAATGTGAAGATTTGGGGATGTGCATGTCTCGGGAACTGAAGAGGTGATTCACTCCCAAAGCCCTCTGAGGAGTGCCAGTAGCAGCCTTTACTGTGATGCAGTTTCTCTCTTTGAAACTCATGTGATTCACCAAAAATTGAACCTGTGTGACTTCAGAGGGTCCCTTGTAATGAAGTTCAAGGTGAAGGTAGTCTGAAAGAAGGCTGTAGGAATATTTGTGGCACTTTACAAAGGATGGTTGTAGGATGTGTGGGTGTGTATCCACGTCAGTTTTGATCTAGTGAGGAAGATACAGGATTTAGTGTATGCCATTGACTGATACAACATAAGTCAGTCTTCTAAATAGTTGTGTAAGTCCAGAATTATGAAGTGGGGACAAGGGCATTTCTATATTTTGTAGCAATTCTATGAGGAGAAATAATGAGAGAACTGTTTCATTTAGGCACAATTTTGGTTTAAAAATATGGGCTTGTGTAGCAATATCGATAGGCTCAGTCTGTGCAAGCAAAAAGCCTGGATAGGTCAAACCACTTTTCAGGAGAGAAAAAGAGTAAGGAGATACTATGGTGCTGAAAATCTGTGGCTTTTGTGAGTAAGAATAAATTTTGTCATTAGCCTTGGATAGGGAGGCACAGGAGATGAAAAGGGATAGATACAGCTGGAATACATTTCCACTACAGATCAAATGTTGCATTTTGTTAAAAAAGCTTCTTCTTTATCTTATAGCTGAAAAAAAAGCGAGTAGGTTGAACATATTGCATTGCCAGAAGCTTTACCTCTATGCAGTTCTGTAAGCTTGACGAATTTGACTTGGGGCTGTGCCAGAAACCTGCTTTTCACCTTGCAGCTAGTGTAAAATGTGGCTGATTTCTTCCAAAAATTCAATATTGGAAATCTATCTCTGATTCTCTTTTGGATATTTTGCAAATTCCAACAACATCCTTAAGTTTTTCTACTAGAAGAGATGGTTTGTTGTCTTCTTCATTTATTGCAAGTTTTTCCATTGTTCTGTAGTAGATAATGCTTTGAGCTCTTGGTCCAAATAAATCTAAGTGAATGTATCATCTATAACATAAGAAAAATGTGCTTTAAAATAAGCCCTACTTGGTGTGAGACTTGTTTTCCTTGGGAGAAGAGATAACCAAGGCTACTGGACAGATTTGGATGATGCAGCTACTCAGTCCAGATGAATTATAACAGCATTGTAGAAGTATTTACTAAAAGCCTCAGGCATAGATAAAAGTCATGAGTCAAAGAGTTTATGCTACATATGAATATGTGTGTGCTGGATGCCAGGGTGTGAAATAGAGCATACAAGATCTCACCTTTGTGCTGACTTGATTTACTTGCTTATTTGCCTGGCTGTTATGAGTTCTGTGTTCCTTGTGGATAGGATACAAAGAGACTGGGAAGACTCTTAAACCAGTTACTAATTTGCACAGATTGTGCTGTACAAAACACTGTTTGGGAATGGACAATCTAGCTTTGCCACTGGTACGTTACATGGCTTACGGCAAATCAGTTTGTGTTTACCTCGGTTTCTGTCCCTACAAAGTGTGTAAGTTATCTTGACTTCCTATCCAGAGTACTTCAGGATTTAGTCATGTCAGAATTTTACATTTAGAGTTAGGTGATGGACTGCACAGTTTGCAGAGCTGTATCACCAAAGCCGTTTCTGCTTCTGGCAAGACCTTGCTATTGACCAATGAATAGTAGTGTTCAATGTCCACTCTCTTCATCTGATTTGCAGACTTTACATGTCTGCTGGCATATAAAACCTGCAGTGTTCTGGTCAGCCCTTTCAAAGGGGATCACTGCTAACAAGTCAGGAACAGGAGTAACAAGACATTTCTGTTGTACGTAAGTACTTAATGCATACTTAAATTTCACTGCTACAGGTCTGAAGAATCGTATGTAGAAATGTGAGTAGGCACTAGTGTGGTAAATTAGATCATTGGCCACCGTGTCATATGTAGATTCTTTGCTAACTGGAAAGTGTGTTATTAGCACATGAAACTGAAATGTTGGGAGAGGTCAAAGTTGCATAAAGCAAGGTACAAACTTAAAGGGTGAGATGATGATTTGATCTCTAAATCTTTCTGGAAGGTAGAGAGGACCTTGTCAACAGTTTTTGTGCCAGAGTGGAGAAACTATGATTCTTGGTCAAATTTATCTGCCTTGCCTGGTGCTCAATTCTTGTAAGGGCTATTCCTGTTGTCTATTCTGTAATAATTTAAGAGGGCATAAGCTTGTACTTAATAAGAAAGCACAGGGGAGTGGGATGTTGATGTGTAGAGAATGTGTATGTTACAGGCTGCTAATGAGAATGTAAAGAGTCTTATGCTTTAGTGTTACAGTTAACTAGGCTTGTAATGGTGGTCTGGAAATGAGGAATATACTCTGAGAATTTAGCAATTCCTGTTTTCTGAAACAATGACTGGAAAATGCTGAATGGTTGTAATTTATTCCAGATGATGTTTAGATCCTACAATAATAGCAAAAAAAAAAGGCCTTGTTATGTCTCCTTTCCTTCCAAGAGATTTTTTGTTTTTTGAATCCTCAATCTACGTTCAGTTTTCATATTTCAGTGTTACCCTCTTATTTCTTTTGGGATTTTTACCTTCTATCAATTGTCTTGTTCAGTTGTGTGGAGTTGTGAATAATGTCTGAAGATCATATGTGTATGGAACGATTTTCTCAGAGTTGTTTCTCTTTAGCTATTTGTGATCTGTCTCATTATTTGTTCGTAATGCACTTCTAAGTGTAAACTCTTCTTTTAGCAAACCTAGTACCATAAATATTAAAAAACCACAGTTTTGGAAGTTAATAAATGTACTTTTGTTTCTTTTACAGATGAGATCATTTCATACTCTTCTTTTGGAAGAGGTGGTCAAAGGAAATGGATAGCTATCCAGACTTTACTGCAAAGAACCTCTCATATTCAGCAAATATGTCTATTTCTTTGCCTGGACAAGCTGGACTCAATACCACCGGTGGTACTCCTTCTATGTCAATAAGCAGGCTTTTCCCGGCCCTGTTGGAATGCTTTGGAATAATTCTTTGTGGCTACATAGCTGGAAGAGCCAACATTATCACATCAACTCAGGCCAAAGGACTGGGAAATTTTGTGTCCCGCTTTGCACTCCCAGCACTACTGTTCAAAAACATGGTGGTACTTAACTTTTCTAATGTGAATTGGTCCTTCCTGTACAGTGTTTTAGTTGCCAAAGCTGCTGTGTTTTTTTTAGTCTGCATTTTAACATTGTTGGTAGCCAATCCTGAGAATCGATTTAGCAAAGCAGGTTTATTCCCTATTTTTGCTACACAAAGCAATGACTTTGCACTGGGATATCCAATAGGTAAGTATGCTTTCTTCTTTTAATTGTCACTGTTCTAGACATGTTTGCTTTTTTTTCCATAATTTGAAATTGACTTCTGAACTGAGTTCCATGCTATCAAAGTAATTTCTGAAGTGTCTCGCAAAATTCTCTTTGAGATCAGTCATCATCTAGGCAAGGTTAAGAACAAAAAAAGAAAGCAAGTTTGTTCTAGCAAAACCAAAAGCAGGACATTTGATTACAGAATTGAAAAAACAGTTACAAAAGAGAAGCCTAACTGTGCAATTCCAGATTATACATAACAAGTAGCCCCATATTTTAGATGACTTGAGGAGTTAGCAGTATCTTTATCTCTGGCAGGATAAAGAAAGTTTCTTTATCCCAGGGCAGCTTGCTCAGGAGAATCTTCAGCCTTTCTTAGTCTCTTCAGATTTGCTAGATATGTATAAAATGTAGACAAATGCAATTGCAAGCTTTTTCTTCTTTAGCTGAAAATGCTGTGTTTCCCTCAGTTGTATCTTCTGAAATTTATTCCTCTTAAGAGAAATCAGAAGTATGTCACATATATGGCTGAGGATTGTATCTTTGTTTCTTGGTATGTGTTTTAAATGCCAATTAGGGTTTCTGAGTTTTTTTATATATATTTTTGGGCTTGTCTAAATGTATTTCCATTGTATCTTAGTTAAAACATTCTTTCTATTTTGACTTTCTTGTCAGACTACATATTTCTTCAGATATTTCATGATTTATGAGTCATATTTTTCTGGGTATGATAATGCCAAAATCTACACCATTAAGTTCATTAAGAGCTTTACTGGAGTACTTACTGCAACAATGACACTGTAGGCCTTGAGGTTTGTCTGTTTCTTAGAGTTCATGCTGTCACCTATGCAGAGTTTTTACTATTAATGACTTCTCTGAAGTGTCTGCAGGACGCTTGGGCAACAAGGAGTGCCTTGCTTCTTTTTATGTATGGTGACAGGTAGTGTTTTGAACAAAACCTGATCTTTTGATGGAAATACATTTTAAAAAGCTGTAGGAGTTGAAATTTGTGAGGGGAAAAAAAATCAGTATTGACAAATCAGTGTATTAAAACAACACTATTTTAAAAGGCAGTTTGAACACTTAAATCAATAACTTCCTGAGTCTTCATCCAATGTTATTTCTTTAATCTATTACTATTATTATTTATTATTACTTCTTTACTATGCTGTTTTTTGCTGTTTAACAAAGATTTGCACATAGGAAAATCAAAATACGGGTTAAATTATCAAAGATCATCACTGTGTTTTTCTGTTATCGTGGCTATGACAGTGATGTTGGGGTGAAAGAAAGCTGGCACAGAGGTTTGCTAGCACCCCTCGGATGTAGATAAAACTACTATGATAGAAAGCTTTGTTTGTTTTTTATTACTGGGTGAGATGATACAGCTGACAGAACAGCTTCACCTGTTCTCTAGTGCTATATTGTTAAAGCAGAACTGTTGTGTGGATGATGGCTCAGTTACCATGACTTTAATGTTATTAATTGTATTAAGCATGGATGACTAGTGTGTGACTTGTATGTAATTTTGAGCAGCTGAGACATGGTGAACTGATTTTAAAAAAAAAAATCTTTGATTTCAATTTTTTGTTATGATCAACAAGTGGGCACCTTTATTTAAATAAAAAAAAAAGTTTCATCAGCAGTAGAAGTTGTGGATTATTTTCACTGTCTTAATGATTCCTTTGGAGTGATTTCTATTTCTTTTCACCCACTGCCTCAGTGATCTCGTTACACTTTTTGTACCCTGGAAAATGCATTGTGGCTTCATACATCAGTAAAAGTACATATAGACCTTGATATATTGTATTAAGTATGCAGTTTCTCTTTGCCAGAAAGTAATGGCTTTTTAAATTTTTCACTCAGGTACTACTTACATGTGGCTTGTATTGAGTTGCATTTGTATAAATATATATATCTGTATAAAGCAATATAAAACATCACTCTAAGGTTCGAGGTTTTAGAAAAAAAATGTATTTACATAAAAAGTGTCCAACATGTTTTTATTTATCAAAATGTGTTTAGTGCTTAAAACTGGTTTGTTAAATGCAGTAACTAACCACACACTCAGCAGTTCTGTTCAGCAGTTTATTCAGCATTTTAACACAGGTAGTTCTTGTATACGTACTTTGATCATGACCTGTAAGAGGAAAAACATCTTTAGTGCCTTTTCTTGTATATATTATATATCAGCTAATTGAGACTGTCAGTTTATTCAGTCTAAAGAGAGGACTGTTCATACTGAGTTCTGATTTAGTATTCAGGAGTTTCAGAAGAAATAATATAAAGATAAAAATATTTTGAATTTTGAAAAACGTAGTCATGAGGGAAAACCTTTTCAGAAAAATAACAGGTTAATAATGTTATTATTCATAGTATATATAATATATATAAAATATACATTATATATCTATGTAGTATATATAGTAATTATTCTTATAGTAATAATATTAACTATATATTAATATATTATAATAGAGATTCTATTAATAGTTATGTTATTGATAATAACAATAAAATTACTGAATATAGTAACATTATAAGACGGGTAAAAGACAACATTGTACTTTTAAAGCATTGGGGTTTTTTAATTCACCCTAGAATTTAATCTTGTATATCTTTCCAAAGTATTTTCATCATTTTTGAAGTGCTGTTAGAACAAACTTGAAATAAGAAGCAATTCTACTTTGACTCAAAAGTACATAGTAGCAATGAAAACAAATGCACGTGATTTAAAGTTCCTTGAAGGACCATAACTACAGCAATAACTCTTGTCCTGAGTAGTCCCAGAGAATGAACTAATAATTAAGTGATAAGCTATTTTTTATTTGCTTGTTGCTTTGCTGTGTATTGAATCAATGTAGAATGATCACACCTGACTTACCCAGTGAAAACTAATTAAATTTCAGAGATGTGAAACTCCCCTAAGATGGGAAGCAACTTGTGTCCTCCAAAGGTGCATTTAATTATCCATACTTGTCACATTCCTGGGGAGGAAAAGCAAGCCAAAAATAAAGCCAAAATTTTTCCAGCATTTGGGATGACTCAAAGGAAACATAGGATTGTTATATTGTTTTCTTTCTTTTTTTCTGTAGATGTTGCCTATTTGTAGAATCATTAAAAAGTATTGGATGGTTAGTGTTTTGTCTTTAATGTGTTCATTAGATGACTGTGCCTGATGTGATTGGGCATACTTCTCTTACTGCATCATCTTATATTGATTGTTAATAAAAATGAATCCTTCAGTTATTTCTGAAGGAAAAAGAAATAATTTTCTTTAGTTTTCAAACAGCAGTATTTAATTTCAATATGAATGTATTTTTGTACTGAAATGTTATCACTCATCACTCTTCATTTCCTGTCTTCTAGTTGAAGCTTTATATCAAACCACTTACCCCGAGTATCTCCAGTACATTTACCTAGTGGCTCCAATATCTCTTATGATGCTAAACCCCCTGGGGTTTATCTTCTGTGAAATCCAGAAGTGGAGGGATAATCGCACTGTGCCACACAGCAAAATCAAAATAGTGGGCCTAGCGCTCCTTCGAGTTTTGCAGAACCCAATTGTATTCATGGTCTTCATAGGAATTGCCTCAAACTTTATTCTTGGCCAGAAAATTCCCGAATACCTTGAAAGCTTCCTTGATGGACTGGGCAGTTCTTTTTCTGGCTCTGCACTTTTTTACCTTGGACTAACTATGGTGGGACAAACAAAAAAACTGACAAAGGGTATGTTTGTTGCACTGATCCTTCTCATCACAGCTAAACTGTAAGTTTGATTTATATATTTTTGTAATTTTGTTCTTTAGCTGTTTTAAGCTCTGAATACCCTGATCAGATGGCTTTTCTCTCAAAAGCATTATAATGATAGTATGTTTCACTTTCAGTATTTTGAGTGCTTCCCAAACTCTTTGATACTATACAACTGTTAACTTTTAAGGGAAATTAAGCAGACTACAAACCTGTTGTCAGGCTCTGCAGAGAAAAAAAAAATCAGGGGTCCTGTGGCTTCGTGGACTGCCTGCAGGCCATCTGTCATGAATTGAAGTAGTTGGGGAATTACTAGCTTAAATTAAAGTTTATTAAATAAATACTTAGACAATAGTGATTTTAAGTACATTTGATTAGTATTTGTATTTTATTTGGCTTAAATAATGCATCTCTAAATGAGTTGTTTTTCCTTGCTTTATCTATAAATCTTTGAAACTGCTGTATTGGAAGAGCTTAAAAATGGTCGCCTTATGCTTTTAAACTGCTTGACTTTTAAGCATAAATAAATGACAAGTTGTATTTAGAACTCATTATCTTCCCTTGAATATATCTCAGCAGTGAATTAAATAGTTTACGTCCTACAGAGCTACAATTAACATAATGGAATCATTTTTTGGTGGTCAAGTTTATGTTGTAAATTTTGAAGGTGCATTTGAATATCAGTACAACTAACTAGCAAACTTAAAGACCTAATCTGTAAATGACAAATTTTGTAAGAATGTAAAAAAAATTGAGTTTTAATATTACCACTTTGCTTTACTGGTGACCCTGTGTAAGGCTTACACTGGGTTTCTGTGAGGTCTAGGCTATTGCTAAAGGTGAACAAAATAGCATTGATGCAGGGGGTTTGCTGGCCAAAACATTTGGAATGGGATACTTAAGCTTGAGCCCTTGTTATATTTCAGACAGCTTGCAGAAAGGTGGTCAGAGTTTCACAGCTTCTGACTGCTTATAGCTACTATTTAACAGTTGAAAAATGAGGGGTGTTTTATGTTTTACCTTTCTAAATCCAAGGTTTATACAAAGAATGTGTCTGCTTATATCCCAGAGTTTGTTGTCATTTTTATCTTTTTTTTTTTTAGTGTAACTTGTGACAAGATTTTTAAGCAGCTGGTAAATGCCTTGGTAACAGTAAAGGCAATCATTCAAAATGATGTTAGTATTTTGCTTTTCATAAGTAGTATTCAAACAAACCTTAAATTTCCTTTTGGTTCATTTTCTGAATAAAGAAGAGTCTATTGCTATAGCTTGAATAATATTTTTTCAATTTTTTCCCCCTCTCTTTTCAGACTTATGATGCCATTTCTCTGTAGAGAAATGGTGGAGCTCTTGGACAGGAGTGACAGCGTGGTCAATCACACCAGTTTATCAAACTATGCATTTCTTTATGGAGTTTTTCCAGCAGCACCTGGTGTCGCGATATTTGCAAGTCAATTTAACATGGAAGTAGGAATTGTATGTGGTTAGACTCTTCCAAATATGTGCTAAATTTGAGCTTAACTTTGTTGATGAAATACTTAATTAAGTAGGCTTGAAGAATTTGGTTTTCTGTAGTATAGACATCTTAGACTTACTTGTACTCCCTGGATCTTTCCTGGTCTCTCAGGTGCCTTGATAGTAGATGTTCATATATAAGTCCTTGTACTTTTTTTTGTTCATGACTCTAGTAGGAAGAATTAGGATAACTTTAAATATAAACAACTTGTATCTTTGCTGGGTTTTGGGTTTGGTTTTTTTGGTGTTTTTTTTTCAAAGACCTAATCTTTGAGATACTGTTTTTTAGAAAAAGAGAAATTACGTTACTGACTTCAGTAAGAATAGTATTAGTTCAATGCTGAAAGATCTTATGCTTTAACTGATCCAGTTGTGTTGCCCTTCAATTAAATCTTGTGATAGAAACGCATTTTACGCTTTTTTTATGTATAGTAGAAAGTACCAACTACCTTTTCAACTTAAAATACAAATTTTAGAGATGTTTTTTCCACTTCAATTGACATTGAAGCATTTCTGTTAACTTCTGTTGGTTTTAATGTTTTCTGTTTTGGGGTTGTTTAGATGTTTGGGTTTTGTTTTGTTTTTTTTTAAGATAAGGGGGGGAAAGGATACTAAAAATAAATCTTGAAAGATAGAATCTTGTGCCCTACAGGCTCAGGAAATCTGTTTAAAGCAGTGGTCTGTAGTATGAGCGACAATTCACACTTCCATCACTGTGCAAATTCCAGAAAGCAGAAAAACAATGAGATGCCAAACTAGAAATCACTTGAATGTAAATATATATGGTTTATTTTCATGAATTGGTGAATATTAGTATTTGCATAACTATATGTTTTGTTATTTATTTATGGTACGAATATTTGCATCCAAAAGTAAATTGTGACTGTAAATTCACCCCTAGGCTGTAATCACTAGTGTATTTGACACCCATAAAAAAGCTATAAGAATTTGCAGTAGGGAACTCTCTATTCCTGCTATTTCAGAAGCTTGTAAAAATGTTCAGTTTAGCTGCATGTAAGCCGGATACTTTCTGGCTTCAATTCTAAATAATTTGTTATAGAAGCAACTCACGGATTTGTTAAAGGTCTGTATATGTTTAATTCAAAGGTCCAGTTTTGCCAGTGGTTGTGTTCCTGAAAGCAGATTATTTAGCTCGAGATCTGATTAACTCTGTTCTTGTTTTTGTTTGACTCTTTTTGCAGATTACCTCAGGCATGGTGATAAGCACTTTTGTGTCTGCACCCATTATGTATGTGTCTGCGTGGCTGTTGACCATTCCATCTATGGACCCCAACCCACTGGCATCTGCACTCCAAAACGTTAGCTTTGACATCAGTATCGTCAGCCTCATTTCTCTGGTAGGTGCTGGTGAAGTGAAATACAAAACCACACTGTTGTGTCAGGGTAGTGGTAGTACATAAGCAGCAAATTAAATCACAATAAGACTCATATTTCCTCATCATATTCTGTTGCAGAAAGATAAGGAAGGAGTTAAAAATCTTGATTTAGCAGTGGGTCTGCTGGAAAGCTGCACTATAGAGAAAGATGCTTGGCTGAATTAGAGCTCTTAGTGCAGGGCTTGGGAGTTTCTTTTTTGTTTGGGTTTGTTTTCATTTTTAATAACAGGGTGTGAGGGAATTACAGTACTAGCTTACACCACAGGGACTAATTACATCAAGCCAAATAAGGTGCTTGGATGTCACAGTAATGAAGGCTGTGTACAAACTTCAGCTCCAGAAATGTCACTGAATATTTATTTAATGAAATCTTAATGAGTATTAATGAAAATGTTTAACCTGAAAGGTTTAACTTATCAAATTCCTTTCCTAGAAATTCTTTTCTTAAAAAGTGAGATAGTCCAGAAGTCCAATGTGAATTGTGTTTTGGCTTTATAAAAAAAAAAAGATAGTGTGATTATTCTATTTGCTTTTTTGAAATAAAAACATTTATGTTTGAAGGAGTTGAAATTTTCTAAAGTTGTTGTCTCAGTTGTTCAAGACAAGAAATCCTCTTGTCTTGAAACTGTGCCTGAAGGGAAGCCAGAAATTAATGCTACCACTTGCTCTCATATAATTTTGGGAGATTCAGGGGAGATGGGTGGGAGTCTTAAATTCTAAGTTGCCAGGTCACTCTGTGGTCATTTATATTCTGAGGAACAAATAGGATTCTGTACACTAGAGGCAAGTTCTTGGTGCTTCCTGGGAATATTTCACCATCATGAGAACACAAAGATGCATTGCTTTTTCTGGCTACAGCTGCGGAGGCATAGGGACTGACAGCAGTTGGTATGAAGCTGCCTAGAGTAGTCATGTTGCTAAGAAACTTTTCCAGAAGATTTGTTGTGTATTTAACTTCACCATGGTCTGCAAGAATATTCTTTGTTCTTTTGGGTTTGGTTTTATTCTTAAATTATTTTTTTCTTGTATGTTACAGACCTGGTCTCTTATTGTTGTTCTTCTGAGTAAGAAATACAAACAGCTTCCTCATATGATTACAACAAATCTACTTGTTGCTCAGGTCAGTAGTAAGAAGCATGCTGTTGTGTGAGTTTGACAGTTTAAGTCTTTTTAAACATTTTTACAAGTTTGGTTTCTACAGTGATATCTTTATAGCCATCTATGAAGGGCAGGGAATTCTAATGTGTGACTTGTCTAAACAATTTCTGTGCCTTAAAATATACCCTTGAAGAAAATTATAGTTAATGCTGGTACTATGGTTCTCAAACAGAACTATAAGCAATCAGAATGGAGAGTGGCTTCTGAAATGTATTTTCAGTTACTGCCCAATACTGTTGAGTGCACTTCTGTTCAATTTATACTGATTTGAAGTCAGCAGTACCAGGAACAGCAGCGTATGTTTGACTCTATAGTGACCCGATTCAAGGAGCCAAATAGAAAAATAATCCCTGTGATGTTTATCCCCCTGAAGTGGCTTGCTGAGGGATCAGACAGGTGCAAGTGCTGGTGAAAGGAAGGGGTGTGGGAATGAATGGCTGGTGGCTAGCGAAGGCCAAAGCCAAATGGCTCTGGATTAATTTTAATTGTAATTTAATCTGAGAGAGAACTACAGAGTGTAGATGCTCCTTATTCCCTTGAAGTCAACTGCACAACTGCCTATAATTTCAGTGAGAACAGCCTGTGTTTGTAATACGTCTGTGTGGTAGTGCTTTCTGAAGTGTTCTGGCTTTTTTTTAAAAAAAATCTGTATGTATATATATAGTAAACTCTGAGCTTTGATCATGGAGTCACATTAAAAAAATGGCATGTACAAGAACTGCAGGTGCTTCTGTTCTGTAACAGCAAAGTTAGCTTTTATGATAAAAAAATTGAACTACTGTGTTACTATTTCCATAATATTTCAACCTATCTTTTTGGATTCCTTCAGTACTAAAATTATCATATATCCCATATCACTGGATGAAAACTTCAAATTCTTTGCAGAACAAACATCTGTTGACCTCAGTTTCATGTGCAAATCATTTCAAATAAATGGTTTGTACTTATCAAAAACATCAGCTTTTACTTATTATAAAGGTGTATAAAGCTGAGGTTTTTTTCAGATTGGCCTTGCTCCTAGTTTATGAATTATATAATTACTCTCAAAAAAACCCTCCTGAAAATAGGGTACCATGGTTAAGTGACAGAGCTGCAACACTGAATTTACTGTGGCAGTGCTTTATTGCGAAGAGAAGTATCCAGTTTGTAAAATCACACTCCAGTAAATCTGGGGTTGGAGTTTTGAAGCTTATTGCGAGTATATTGCACTGTGTTTAGTTTTTCTTGTCATTCTGCTTTCCCAGTTTAAATGATGGCATCTCACCTTTCTTTCCAGTTTATTGCTTGCATTGGAATGGTGGTATGGAATTTCGTTGTTAAAGAGCAAGACATCACCATGCAGATCCTAGTTTTTATATTTCTCTACAGCTCACTTTACAGCACCTACCTATGGACAGGTATGTTTTTTCTTGGCAGAACTTAGGTACTGTAATAGAAGATTAGTGTACTGAAATAATGTTGCTACATTCTTCAGAGTAATCATTCCTTTCACTTGTATGTAGTTCTATAAATATGTACACTTAAGTTGTGCCAAGCTGCAGCACTGGCAACACAGGGCTGAGTGTCAGGCACTGCTTCTGCTGTTGGAAGCTTATACCTAGGGCAGGTCTTGTTTGTCTTTGCTGGATACAGCAGCCTGGCTAGTGTGTGACAGGAGACAAGAACCTGCTCTCGAGGCAGAAGCAATTACAAATAGAGTGAATGTGGTGGGCTGCCCTTCAGCTAGTCGAAGTCTTAATGGCGATTTTTAATTACTGCAGAGTTTAATATTTTAATTATACAGCATTAAGTAGATTTGAAAACTTGGTGCCTCAAAAAGTAGAAAGTACAGAATGAAGTGAAATACCAAAGTAACTCTAACATCTCTTTACCCTGGCAGTTGTAATTTCTAAAAACAATATGTGTGTATATGACTAAGAAGGGATTGAAATAAGACAGAATTGAAAGATGCATCAAGAAGCTCAGAGAACCTTACATATATGATTTAAAAAATACTTTGGGTATTCAAAAGAGTTTTTGTACTGTTCCTGAGTCTAGAAGTCTAAGGGTTTAATTCCTGTGGTGTTTAGCTGAAATAGGTAGCTCATGCTTGGTAAGGTGTAACATAAATACTAACTTTGCTTCAGCATGAGAATGTTGCTGATCTGCTGAGTTGTGAATAGAATAGGCAGTTCCAGAAGATACTCCCATGTATAGTTATGTATGTAAAAATGTGTAAAACTTTTTTGTTAAATTTATCACTGGCTTTACGAAGGAATAGTCAGTTTTTAAAGAAATGTTATAATAGAATACAACATTATTTGTTGGTTACTCAAGAGTGTCAGAATAGAACAACTGCTGTCAGTACCTTAAGAAATTAGTTACTTGTGTCTTAAATGTTCTTATGACATCTTTTATATTCTTGTTAACCTTTCTTAATATTTAGAAGTGGATGTTAAATATAAAATGTCCTGAAATTTCTTCAGTGTTATTAGCATGATTTTTTAAGACAATGGGTATTTCTAATTTACTTTCTCAGAATACAGCTAGAAAAACAATTGTGGACTATTGAAACGTCTGAGAGGAATATCTTGAGTTATTGAGCAGGTCACATCATACAGCTTCTAGACTCTGTACTTACTGATTCCCTTTTTAATAATAAACAAGGCATTTCTTTTGGTTTTGTTTTGGTGGATTTTTGTTTGTTTTTTTAGGTTTTCTATCTTTCTCTTTGTTTCTGTTGAAGAAGAGAGAAACAGTAAAGATTCCCATTGGGTTTATCATCATAGCTGGATGGGGGTAAGTTAATTCAAATGCTTCCCTGCAGAATTAGTGGGAGCATGCCAAATATGTTACATACTTCCTACTTTGCTCTTTCAGAATCCCAACAGTTCTGGTGGGAGTCTTACTAATTGTTGGTGAACGTAACAACACTAGTATTGACTCTGCCTTTTTCTATGGAAAATACCAGGTATGAACATATTCTGTGCTCATCACTTCAGACTTCTGCCATATCCAATACATTAGTGAGAAATTGTGTTCTCTGCTTCTAATGCAAGTACCTTTCTGGCGAAGTATATTATTATATATATAATATATATATATATATATATATATATATATATATAAAAATATTATATTTTTTATATATATATATATAATATATATAACCAAAATAAACATATCATTGTAAAATGCTTATAGATCGATACAAAAATGTATTTCATAGAATCATAGAATCATAGAATCGATTGGGTTGGAAAAGACCTCTGAGATCATCGAGTCCAACCCTTGGTCCAAATCCAGTCCATTTACTAGATCATGGCACTCAGTGCCACGTCCAATCTGCGTTTAAAAATCTCCAGGGATGGTGAATCCACCACCTCTCTGGGCAGCCCATTCCAATGCCTGATTACTCTGTAATGAACCATTAGGAAAACTTGTTTGAACAAGGAACTTCATGTTTAGTCAGCTATGACTAAGAAAAAGGGGGAGTAGGCTTCCCAAAGAAAAGGCTTAGGAGTGGTAGTGAATTGCAGAGCCCTTTTCCTGGTGACTAATTTGTAGTCTCACTTGATAATTATCTAAAATTGTTATTATCCAATAGCTAATTAATGGCTTCTGGTCTGTAACCTAAAGTAGATAGGATCTACTTTACCTGTGTAGCAGTAACTGCTTGCACTGGGGGAGGTGTCTCTGCACAATCATGGGTTGAAAGGCCCTGAGCCTGAACTACCAATGGTTTCTCTTATCAGAGGATGTAAAATGTACTAGGACAGATACTTGTCACGTTTTGTCTTTGTCTTTCTTATGAATAGGAAGTCAATGAGTCACTTAGTATTATTCATGTGGCACTTTCACAAGTATTAAATAGCCTTAGAGTAGACTTTGGGTATCAGTGGCAGATGATTAGAAGGAAAGGTTAATTAATAGGGTGCTCCCCATGGACAAAAGCATGGAAATTAGAGCACGTTCCTCTTTGGAATTAAAAGGTACCTGAGCAGAACTTAACTTGGAGGCTACTGATCCTCAGAGGAAAGGTGACAATGATGAGGGGAGGTTTTTGGATTGCATGGGAAATAGGGGTCCACACTAAAAAAAAAAAACTGTAAAGAAAATTAGTCTCATGTACTGATTGCTCTTTCAGTGTCACAAGGTGCAAGAGCAGTTAATACAGAAAACTTAGTCTTATTCAGATGCATTTGTATGTATATTTAGAAAATTACCAAAGTTAGAAAGGCAGATATATGCCACTATTTTCCTGTCTTTAAGTGTGTTTTCTTTGCTTTCTTAACAGATAATTACCACAGCAGTGATCCTGTTCATCAGTATATTGATGTCAGGCATTTCACTTATGTGCATGAACAGAAATAGGCAGGAGTCAAACTATGAGGTATTGAACCCATATTCACCACGAAGCCAAGTGGAGGAGGTTGAAGTGGGAGGGAGTGAGCAGAAACACATTTCAGCCTCTGTGCCTCAGCCTTCTCCAGGGTCTTCTGCACAGCCTTCTCCAGGGTCTTCTGCACAGCCTTCTCCAGGATCTTCTGCACAGACATCAGCAGAAAGCGGTAAAAACAATAAATGGCTTGGGATACTGTAAAATAATATTCCAAATTTAATTCTGACCTGGTAAGGACAGTTTACACCTTCAGGTGTTACACTAGGACAGAAGAAAATCTAGATATAACTGCCCAAGGATTTAGCTTTATGTTTCTAAGGAAAGTTTTATTGTAAGAGTTGGGGAAGTGGACAAGAAAAAAAGCACGTGTATGGTTTTTATGTAAGTAGTGGTATCTTGATAAGGCTGTGATAAGTACAGTCCACTAGGCATCTGAGATTGTTTACTCACTAAACCCTCTCTCTGCAAAAGAATTATATGCCAGCAGAAGCACTCGATGTGTTTCTAATCCTTCTTTTTTGTGTGTAGCCTTTTTGATCACTTTCCATTTTTTTTTTGCCTCTAGCTAAAAGTACTTATGTTACTTCCATGGTGGTAGTGTAACATTAAGCGCTTCCTATATATTAATATTGTAACCTGTTAACCCTCTCAGCAAATTGGAAAAATTAACCCTGTCTTCTCCTTTTGGGTTATTTTTTGAGCATAATATTTAAAACTACATAGAATACATTGTTATACTTGGAAACTAACTATCCTATTACTGTATATGCTTAGTAGGTTGCTGTTCTTGTCAAGCAACAAATGGTGAATTATCCTGTGCTAAAGAGAGCAAAGCGGTGTCAAATGCTGTTGAATGCAAGGTTCCTCCAATAGAGACAGGTAAAGCAGTAGTATCTTCTTGTTTTAATACTACAAGCTCTTCCTCAACATTTATGTGTTGTTTTCACAAAGAAACTGTTGGGACTGTTGTGCTCTCAACTCTACCTGGATACCTTACATTTCATATTGAATTCAATTATTAGGCAATATTTTAGGTGTTTGTTCTCTTCTGCTGGTAGTTGTTTGTAATCTTTCAGTGCTCAAGAGGGACAGTTGTTTCGAATGTTATTTTTTAACACTAAGCTACTTTAACATGTCGTTCTAAGCATTCAGACTTTACCTCTCCGTCATTGTCTTGTTTGGATGCTGGGAAGTTGAATGCATAACCCTACTTTGCATCAAGCTTTTAACATAAACATGCTCTTTTACATTCTCATATTCACATCTTACATCTTTTAAAAAAGGCTTTGTTGTGTTTTGATCACTGAATGAGATCTAGAGGGATCTAGTGCTTATTGCAAATTAGATTAAATGTCCATGGTGCTGTACTGTTCATGTCTAGGAGAGAGAGATGGTGAAAATTGAGGGCCTTAGGATTCACTAAAATAGAAAAAAATGGATAAAACTGACTGTTCAGCACCTAATGGAAAACTGCCTGCCCAGCACATCCCCATTTTGCACCACTTCCAGTAATCAAAGCTAGCAGCAGTACAGCCTTGCTCTTTTTCCTATTTCTTTTTCTTGTATTTTTGCATTCTTAACAAGACAGTTCGTATCCTTATGTTTTGTTTACATGCAACATAATTTTCAGCAAATCTAAATATTTCTCCCTGAAGGATACTACAATTATATCTCTTCTCACAAAATTCTAGGTTTCCACCTATTTTGCCAACTATTTTATCTACTAAGTAATTTAAACAAGAATCATAAGAATGTCTTCAATGATAGAGGAAGGCCAGTTTAATTTTCTTATCCTGAAAGATAAGGCAAAAAATACCTTATGATTGAGTGGAAATTATTTCAACCTCCTGAGTGAACACTTCAAAACTATAATCAGTAAAAACAAATTGTAATGCAGACACTCGTGTAACTTTGGCTGCAGTAATTACTAATTCTTTTACTATCCCACTAAACTGCTGTGACAGGTATCTGGTGAAAATTCTTAGGTATGCCCTTATCAGGAAGTTTTTCACTGCCATCTAGAGGAAGATACTCAGAATTACTTAGAACTCTGTAGCTGGGAGACAAGCATCCATTTGCTTTGTGTTTGGCTCTTTTGATTAATAGAATTATGATGGTGTTCTGATATAATATGTTAAAAATACATTCACAGACCTGAAATAAGTATGGTTGATTGTGCATCTGATCTAGAACTCAACAACACAGAGATGCAGAGTAAAAACATTAGAGCTGACTGTATATTTGACTTTTTTTTCAGAAATTAATTTAAAATTTAAAAACTGGAGAAATGGGGGGAGGGGCGTATTTCATTATTTCTAGTAATGTTTTCCAAATATTAACCATAACATCAGTTTGAGTTAAATCTTTGAAAGAAGAATTCTGTTGCAAAAAGTTCCTTCATTTTAGTAGCGCATGTGAATTACTGTTTCATTTGAGTAGATGTCTGAACAGATTATTGTCAAAGCCAACATTAAATTTTGCATGTGTCACTTCAGTATAGATACTTACAGGGTAATTTGACTCAGCAAGTGACATTAACAAGTTTGCTCATGGAGTTCACAAGATAGAGGCCTAATCAAAAATTTCTGATTTGTTTTTCAGTGGATCAGTGTGTGAGTCATTGCAGTGCTCAAACGTGTGTATTGGCTCAGGAAGAACAGCTGCTACAGACTGGAGACAAACAGCTGGCCAGACATGTGCTGCTGTGCTTACTTCTTGTTGTTGGCCTGTTTGCTGTAAATATTTTTTCTCCCCATGTTGTTTAACTCCTTGAGGTAGAATGATTTTTAGGAAAGCTATGTAGACAGTCCAGTAAAAATCTTCCATTTACTTATGTAACAATTCATTAAATAAAATAGAGGCTCTATTTTGGTCCCTTACTGGAAGAAGGATGTCATAAAATTAATTTTTCTGTGCCAGATCATAAATTAAAGGCAAGTTAAGACTAATGATGATAGTGAGCAAGCCACAGCAGAGAACCCTAAAGGGAAAAAAAATGGAAAGATATAATTTGGTAATTAATTCATCATTAGCGCCCCTCTTCCCATTTTTCTCAAGAGTTAAGTCTTCTTCCCTAGACAATAATTAAAAATATAAACTGAACTGTACTTCTGAAGGAGACTACAAAAATTGGACCATCTGGTCACGTTTATAGTGAAACTGGGATTTCTCTGAGGTGTTCTAGTAATGAAGAATAATTTTAAGATTATTTTAAATGGAAAAATGCAATTTTGTTGCTTTTAGTGGTGGTTTGGAGACAATGTAGCTAAGTTAGTGGTGCCACTCCTCATTACTGATGCAATCCCAGCTGTGGTTGCATCTACCTCCACCTACAAGTAGGAAATACGAGAATGTAATGCATTGGGGATATAATTTGAATTTTTAGCTCTGAAAAGATGAGAAACAACTCCCTGTGTTTGAATGTAATGCTCAAAGTTGAGTTTCTTGTGGATTGCAGTTGGGGGAGTATTTTTATTTGAAATGGGAAATAGTCTGGCATAAATACGTAGTGCTGTGAAACAGGATAGTGCAGCACAACTGTGTGGGTTAATGCCTACTACTGTTGCTTTTCAGGTTCTGTTAAATTACAAAATGGAAGGTTTCCCTCTCTCAAATTTCCTCTATCAAATGTTTTATGCTATTGAGAAATCTAGCAAATGTTAGCCTATATTTTAGTTGTATCTGGATGATTACATAGACACTATGAAATAGTTTTATTTCATAGTGAAATAAAGTTACATTAATTAGCCTTTACACACAAATGGGTTAACTTCGGAGGGTTTTTTTCCTTCTACCAGGCATCTAAAATAGCTGAAGTGGTATGTGCTTCAGCTTAACCTAATCTTAACTATGCAGGAAATATGTAGAAAGCACTGGTTTCAGCTAAATAGGCCTAAAGACAAACAGTGCAAATCTGTCAGGGCTAATATTGGCTGTCTTTGAATACCTAAGTATGCTTAAAGCAAGTTCCTTTTGTAAACATGTAAAGAGGCAGGACCTCTACACTGGTATGATTTGCAGTACTATGTTTAAAACAACCAAGCCTTCCCCTCCCACCTAGCTTTTAAGCTTACCTCAAACGTTTTAACGTGTTTATTGCCTGTGATTTGTCTTTATCTGAATCATTCGTTAAATAGAGACCATGAAAATTGTGTAAGAATCTATTAGCATGTGAAGAATAAGAAATGCATTTGATTTTTAACAATCAGATTAGGTTTATGGTTTTTGTTATTGTTTTTTTATTTTCTTTACAGAATCTCTCCAGTTGTTTGTGGTGGCTGTTCAACCAAGAGCCCGGGAGGCTGTATGTGGAATTGCAGTTCTTCTGTGCTGTGTTTAATTTTGGTCAGGTACTTAACAATGTTTGTTCTCAAAATTACTTTGTTGATGGATGTTGCAACAGATGCTGTTACAAGCACTGTAAGTTGAAGTTTTGAAACACTGCCAAAGTCACCAGCTCCTTGTGTTTTGTCTTTTTTTCCCTCAAGCTTTCCTTTTGCTTTAATAGCTTTCTTTCATAATGCATGTCTTCTATGACCATGAACACTTCCAAAGGTACAAATGACAACTGAATGTCAAATGCTTATGGAAACCAAGTAGGAATTTTGCCCAATTTGTATCAGAAAGCTTCGCCAGTGGCCCTTTTGTGGAGTTACACTGGTATAACAGTTGCAAGATGACTACATAGATACTTTGGCTATATCCCTAGTTTCAGTGGCAGCACCTTTAGCTAAGAGCTGACATAGAGATGATTGTTCTGGCTGCACATGGCCTATTTCAGCGCAAACTTGTATGTGGTAGCTTTGTTATGTGTGAAGGTGGAAACGAGGCAGTGTTAATATACACACTAGAGGAATGTTTTACAGATCCATGGGCAGGTGTGCCTGCAGGATGCACTGCGGTATCGAATAATGATAGTAGTTTTGTATAAAAACTGTACAGAAAAATGAATTAAGTAGAGAGCATTCTAGCACTTGAATTATAGTAAATCTCTTCTTGACATTAACAAAGACAGATTTAATAACTGGCTGTATGAGGATAGCTAGTTATCCCAAAGTGTCAAGTGTCATGTCACAACATTACTTTTACCCAGCTGTTTCTTGAAGGGTTTATTTGGTGGACTGTTATGTATTAATCTGTCTTTTTAAGGTCCAAATGAAAAATCAAAGCAGAAACAAAATGCATTTTGAATGCTATCTAGAGAAGAGGAATACTTTACATGTATGTTTGGCACTGAGTTTTCAACACTTAATTTCTGTTTATAGAAACCAAAGTTTTTGCTTAATGCTGCTTTCTCTATATTTTTTTTTCCTCCAGGGCTTCATTTGCTTCGGTATTTTTGGCTTAGATAAGCATTTAATCATTCTACCGTGCAAGCGAAGGTAAATAGAATCTTTACACTTATAAACTGAATTATGACTGATAGTCATTTTTGAAGGGTATTGAGTGTTCAGTGCTGTAGCATTCCATTTCCTATTTGTTCAGTCTTCCAAATTTCTTTTCTCTCCCACTTATGGGGAGGTAATTGCAGTTTACTGTGCATGAGGTTTTACTGCTGTCCTAATGACACCTTTGAAGACAAAAATCCTGAGGGTTCCCTAGAGACAAAATTTTTGCCAAATGATGGATCTTCAGAAATAATTTCTGCTGATAAATTAAAACTTGGATATGGATGCTGAATCAGATTATATCATCGCTGTTTGAAAGTCCCGTATTCATAACCTCATGCACGTATTTTGTGTGGATGGGCACTTTCACTGTGGAGGAGTAAGTTGTACAAAGCCATCTTTAACTTAGAGCTCACTGGCTACCATGTGAATGCAGCAGCTAAAGCTGGCTCCCAACTACTCTGACTTTCCTTCTGCCTGAGCCTAGAATAACATTTCTCGGTGTTCAAAAGCCATACAAGTATATTAAGAAGATTACATGTAAAGTATTGGGCACCAGGAGTAAAACAGTTGTGGTAACCTTCCTAGGAGTTCCATTCTGTTATTTCCTGTTCCAAAAAAAACGGCCCTGGTAGTTTTGCCGGTTTTAATTTTTTTATTTTTTTTTTTAGGCTTGCATTTTTCTGGGGTGGAAGAGAAGCAGCAGGGCATACAGACCCCTCTGTACCTGAGGAAATCAGGATGACCTGTCAACAGTTTGTTCGTTATCATAGAGATCACTGTGTCAAAAGTATTGTCAGAGGCAGAAGGTAAGGTTCTTCCCTGCACATATAACCTGTTACAAAGGTCATAAATCACCTTTTAAAAATAATGAAATACAGTTTAATCTGTGGGCAATTCCTGTTGTGGCATATTTATTCAATCCCCAAGGTTTAAAAATTTAAGAGAAAAATGTTTCTGGTCTCACACTGAAACATTGAGGTGCAAGTTATCACATCCCATCTAGGGTTTCAGTAAATTACAAAAAGTTTTATATCGTTAAGGGATTGCACCAGTTTTCGCATTTCACTGGAGTTCAGGAGATAAAATAGTTCTGAAAAAATATATATCATAATACTTGTAATAGTTAATGTGTCTAAGTTTTGTCAAACTTGAGACCCTTCATTTGTTTTATTTTGAGATGAAGAAGCTGTCCATGTGTGTGTGACTGAATGTTTACAAATAAGTAGCTTTTACAGGACACAAAACTGTTGCAACTGATTTTAGTGTGTACTCAGAGACCACTCAGTATGTGAGATTATAGTGATTTTAGTGCTTTTACAGCTTTTGCGTTCATAAAATTTCTTTTGTTCATACCTCTAATGAGGCCTAAACTTGAATTTAGAGATCAGCAGAGCTTTCAGAAGCAAATTATGATACCTGAATCAAGGATTATGTCTTCAGGTATGTGTAGGTGGATGAGAAATAAAATGCAGACAGAAGCAGCAGGAATAAGAAAAAGATTCTGCCTTTATTTAAATATAATAAATGGAGACATGAAGAATTGTTCTAATAGGACACTTCGACTTTTCTTGTCATGTAAACTTTTAAGGAGGACTAGTTTGGCAGGATGGGGTGGTCTTTTAATGGTCAGATAGTCCAAAACCACATTGCAGAACTGTTTTAGACAGCATCAAGATTTTACTCAGTCACCTCAGGAGTCAGTTATGTTCCATAAGAAAGACGTATCAGAAAACGTCTGTTGTGAAATAGAACAGGTTTTACATCCGTGTTTCCTGTGCCTCTTCTGCTATTGTGGTTTCTTGGGCTTTGGGCTGTTCATTAAGTTGGGTTTTGTGGTTTTTATTAATCATACATCCGCCTGAGAATACATGAAAATATGATATTTGTTGCTTCATTGTTGTAATATGTTTGGGCAGAACTTGTTTCATGTCTTATTTGTCCATGTGAATTAAAACAAAGCATTTATCTTCTCATTTTAAATATTCATCTGTCTCGATCCTATCCTCTTTGATTTAAAAGTAACATAACTGAGACCTTATAACTATGGATTTTAATTTATTTTAATTTTTGCATCTCTGCTAGTAGATGTTAACACTTGCTCTGTGTTAGTGCTGCTTTTAACTAAAAAAAAAAAACCAAACAGGGGAAAAAAGTTTGGTTTATGCTGTCTTGTAGCTCTTAATTGCCTTCAGAAACCCTGGGCTTGGTTTCCATAGCGTAGATTTTAGATAACCAGAAATTCCTGCAGCTAAATTTTTGCATTGCATTTTTACTGCAACTAGGTAGATGCCAGTGGCATGGCCTCATAAATATGTAGAAGAAAATTATTCTTGTTGTAAAGGTTTTGTTTATTCTTAGTACTGCCTGTGTGGTAAATACTTAACAGGATATGCAAGTTGTAAATGGTTTTTGTTTACAATGTACGTAAACAGTTAGTGTCTGTTTAAAGCTGTCCATAAATTATAAAAAGAAATTAAAGTTCAGACTTGAGTCCCGTTGCTGGGGGCATGCTGCTCTCAGATCAGATATTTTGTTGTAGAATGGTCATGGTAACAAGTACGTGGGAAGTAAGTACACAAGAAATAAAATTACGTTGTGTGAGATTTTAGGAAAATTGCTACTTATGCCCACTGAAGTTTATTTGCACAAGTGTAAAACAATTATGTATGTCCATATTGCTTCCCGTTGAAATGTCTGTAGGAAATGGTAGGGAACATTGGCATGTCCCTAATATACAAAACTTGCAAATTCTCTTCTAACGTGCTCTTAACTATCATGATATCTTTCCTTGTTTCCTGCTATTTTTCCTTGCCTTTCCCCATCGTGCAGTGGTGATACCAGATTTACAGAACATGTGGGTGAATCATTCCTTTGACATACAGGTGTGGTGCAAAGATCTCCACTGGCATCTTCTTTGGCTGTGACCTGGTGAACTGGCTCATTCAAGTTGGCCTTGCCTCCGACCGTGGCGAAGCTGTGATGTACGGGGACAGACTGATGAAAGGAGGTGTCGTCCAGCACATTACAAATGAATTTGAATTTCGGGATGAATACTTGTATTACCGCTTTATTCCTAAGAGATCAGTTGCAGTTGAGAGCCATTGACCTGAGCATGTAGGCAAGGGACAGGTAGTTAGGGGTGAATGTGACCACCCTCTGCCTTCACCACTGGAACTGGAAGTATTTCTTTCTCAGGGCTCTCAGGGAACTGTGCTATTCTCTCTTGTAAGATTGAGAGATGTGGTTATATTTGTGTCTATTTTGAAGGAAATGGTAGCAAGTGGTATTTGGTGAGCATTCCAACCAGAATGCAACTAGACGAAACCAGATGCTCTGGATTTAGAGCATTTTTTCCATTCTGAGCAAAACAAATAGTAAAATTATATGTGTCACTGTTGTATTTTATAGGCATTATAACAGCAGCTTTAGTGACTGATGCCACAATGAGGAAGAAAAACCCCATAAAAGGTATTTTTCATGTTGCTGACTGTTTTCCATATTTTAGTGTGATGAAATATCGATGCCTGTTTACAGTCAGGCTTCCCCCTGACTTCATAGAAGTAGGATTTCTTCAATCATACCCCAGTTTTGACTACTCTGCTCTTGTCTAACACCAGGAACTTTTTATAGCTCTTTACACCTCAGATCAGGTGGGTTTTTTCTCCCTTAAAGATAAAATCCTCCATTTATAAAAGTGGAATTGTTGTGACAATGTTCCAAATGTCAGAGGATTAAAGCTGAGGAAATACCAAGTGGAATAAATAATGGTTTTGTACAAACCTACCGAATCCCAAAACCATAAAAATATGCAGCACTCTTCCAAATTAGGAAATTACATCATGGAATAAACAATTTGTTCTGAAATTTTGCCTTATGGTGGTAGTAACAGCTTTGTCAAGAGTAGATTTTTACATTCTGAAATTAGCCTTTACAGTTTAATTCAGAAGTGCCAGCCTCAAATAAGGATTTTATGGAAGTCTTGGAGACATGTGTAAGTCAAGACAAAATTCTTTTTCAAATCACGGAACTTTTTAAATTAAATACAATGATTTTTTAAAATCTATTATATAAAGAATCCTAACTGAACATCCAAATTGGGGTTTAGAGTAGCTAAAGATCCTAAATTTTAGTTGGTTGCCTAACACAGGTTTCTAATAAACCTCAGGTATCCTCCTACAATATCTAAATAGTGTCACTCAGATTCCTGTGCACTGAAGGCAGAATCTGAGAACCTGTGTGTCTTCTGCAGTATTTTAAAAAAGTTAAAGACCAAGTGTTATATCTGATAACCGTTGTGCTGCCCTTTTAAAACTGCAAGAACAGCATTTATATGTCTATACAAAAATTTTATATAGTGAGGGAAAGGAATCCAGGTATTTAAAAAAAAATAATTTGCTCAAGCATATGAATAACTCCTCTCATCCTTGTTTTTAAAAGTCTTTCCCTTCTTTTTTTTTTTTTTTTTAGTACACAGGTTTTTATTCTATCTAATTTCGCATCCACTTTGTATTAAGAATTAAAAATTATTTTAGCAGCATAAGCTCCTGTTCAAGTAGCAGTTGTTTTATGGTTGCTATAACTCCATGCAGGACTTACACTGAAAAAATAGTTCCTTTTACTGTCATTCTTATTGCACTTTTGCAGTGTGCACAGAAACATAACTGCATTCTACTGCGTATGTATGCTATGGAAACTGACATATTTTAATGTTTTCCAGCAACAAAATAATTGACATTTGTATCAGGCTGTGTCCACAAAGGAAAACAGTAGTGTATTTCCATAATAACTGCTGAAGACAACTGCATCAAATATTTTGGAATAATTAGATATATGTGACTTAAGAGCAGAAGCTGTGAGTATGTCTGGCTTCTAAATACTGTAATTTGTCAATAAATCTATTACTTGATTTCAGAGTTTGGAGCTGTGTTGTTTTGTGAGATGTGAGAGGGTTATATGTGCATGCCAAGGTTTATGACAAATGTATTTTTCTGAGAGATTTGTTAAAGTGGCTCTTGGGTTTCAGTTCTGGTATTTCTTAAACCACCCTTCATACTTTTTAAGTAGACAGAGAACTTGTTAAAGGGTGTCCACAGAAAGATACGTCCATACCAGGAACATTTCACATTATCATCTACTTATCAAATGCAATTAATTTTTTTTTAATTCTTCAGATATTCAAGAATTTGATCTTAGGGCAGTTTTACAGTCCTATTCATAATCCTTGTTCTTGCACTCTTGTCTTTTTAATTTTCATCGTGAAAGTCCTGCTTCCTTTTTTTTATAACGGCTCTGCTATTTCCTAGATTTGAACACAATGTATCTCTAAGTAAGAAATTGCTCAAAATTTCTGCTTAGAGTTTCTAAATCACTGGGTACTTCTGGAAGCCAACAATAGACTTGAATAGCTTTAGAAAATTAAGAAACTTTTTATCTGGTAAATATTTACTTCCACCAAGGAGCAGTTTTAGAATAGTTGACAATTTGATGTTATGTCAGTAGTTGATCTACTGATATGTGGATTTGTGGTGGTTAGAAATAGTTTTGCTGGCCAGTGGTGCAATGAGATTTTTTATTTTGCAGGTGGGTTAGTTTGGGGTAATTCTCAGTTAACTTGGAAGTTAAGTTCCATGAAAACATCTACTGAACAAGTAAGTGCAGAGGAATATCCAGTGAAACATTGGATCTTTTTTTTAGGACTAATCTCAAAATAATTGTGATAATGGACAGGGATGGATATAACACTTGTAGTTTTCTAAGTAGAAATTTTAGTACTTTTTTTTTTTTTAAATAATGTTCCTTCATAACCTCTAGACCTTTTAAAATCAGCTGTTATACATTCCTAGGTGAAATCCATGCAAAGATTGCCCTCTAGAGGACATTCTGATTTTTTTGTTTGTTTAATATTTTTACACTGCATTTATTTCAGGAGGATGAAACCCCGAGATAAAAAGGTACTGAAATATCCTTACTCTTTTGGCCATCACTTGAACTGTCTCCACTCATTACATTGTTTTTACTTTGTATCCTGTAGACCAGTTAGTATAAAAAGCAACACATAAACAAGAGGAACAGTTGGACTGTACCTGCCTGTATTACAACTGGGCTGATATGCTTAACCTGCTGAATTGCACCCCGTGATTAAGTGGCCAAGAAGTTCACTTAGAGACTCCACTGACTTCACTATTGTCTTTCCTGTGTAACTTCAGTATTTGCATTGTAGCATAAAATTGTTTCACTTGTTTTGCTATGCTGCCTGTAAACTTGATTCATACCTTGGTTTCAGCACAGTTTTACCTGACATTTACTGATGCTTCGAAGCTATGAAAGAGCTAGTGTGGAACAGCTGATGAGCAAAAATAGGACAAAGATACACATGGTTGTTAGATATGGACATCCATAAGGAAAACAAGTAAATGCAGCAAATTTTTATTAAATATATCTTCCAGTTAACAAACATCCACTATGTACTGTTGGCTTCTATGAAATTTTATTGTCAACAAACACAGGTTCAAAAGGATCACAGTCAACTCCAACTTGCTTTCAGTTTAACTTACTTCTCAGTCCTGCTTGCTATTGCCACATGGCACACTGGAACTAGAAAGTTCAAGAGCTTTTCCTGACTCATTAGTTTCTTACTGTGGATCTGAACTCAGCATCCCAAATTAATTTCTACTTTCATTTTAGCATCAAAAAGAATAAGTTCTGCCAAGTTCTTACTTTTCATATTAATTCTGCAAACTTCATTGACTATTCATTCGCATGTACTTACTTTTTTACCAGTGGGGGATAGAACAGTTTACAAAATGAGAGAACTGCATGTTCATGGCCCCCTCTTTAGCATCTGAGATTATTCTAGACTAAATATAGAGAAATCATCAAAGAATGGTCTTTCTGTGGTCTGCTGTGTCTGTGGGGATGCTGGATCATGTCACATATTGCTGCTGCAGCTCTAATTCTTCATTTCATGTTACATGTTTTCTTCTAAAGGTTTGCAGAAGTGTTGGCTTTTGAGTGGTTTGGTTTTTCTCCTTACAGTCATACTTTTTATCCTGCTTCATCATGTGGTAAAGTCAGAATCTTCCTTGTTATCTGTTCAGTTTGTCCCTTGCCACAGATAATAAAAGAAGTGTCATATATTGATCACTACTTTTAAACAGCATCAGGCCGGGCAAAAAGCTTGATTAAATTAACTCCACAGTCTACTAATTTTGGCAAACGAAGTTATGGTTAAAAGGCTTAATATGAAGTGAAAAAAAAAAATTAAAAGTACTTTTAAGTGTCCCTGTACATGAGTACATGTACAGACTTTTGTACCCCAAACTCTTCCTTTCTGGTTGCCCAATTTTAAAAAGTAACAATTCAAGAAACATTTTAAAACTCCCACATGATAGTGCATTATAAAGTGCATTGGAGAATTAATTTGACAATAATCATATTCTATGTAAATAAGTTTATTTTTCAGTATCAGGGTGGGGAAAATAGAAAGGGAAGTGAAAACTGTATGGTAACTTACAGGATGCTTGCATTGATGAATTCCATGTAATCAGATTTCACAACCACTCATGGTAAAATTATAACTGTGATTTGTTTTTAATATACCTTGAACTCTTAGCCTATTTTACATTGAAGGAGTAGAAGGTTCATATATGAAATGTGTCTTAGAATGGTTTCATCAAACAACTGACTATCGATCTTACTTGACTTGCATATCACTTTCCTTTTCATTCAGTGCTCATCATAGATTCTACATTTTACAAAGCCTTCAGCATGGCCATTTTAATTCAGGTAGTCTGACTTCTGCTACAGTTCTCTTGACTATAAAAGCTACATGTGTGTACACTAGAACTGAGTTCTCCAAAGCTGAATTGGTGTTCTTCATCCAGAGATGGAGCTGTTCCACAATTTAGTCAAGCTATTGCATTCTAATTGCATCTGTTTGTTGGCAAAATCAGTCTCTGCTGACAGCTTTGTACCATGTATAAAGCCACTGCCCAGCTCTTAGGAGCCTTTTCAGCATTGCTTCCTACAATCAAAAGCCTAATATTTGTCCTAAATATTGAATCTGCAATTTTAAAACTGCCCATATTAAGTGGTATACTGAAAATAAGATGTAATCTATATAGCCTCTTCATTAGAAAACCTAATTGTAATGCAGAATTTTACCCCATTCAAATAATATTCTTAGCTATATATTTTGAGTTCTTCTTCTACACACTGTGAAAAAAGTTTAACCACTTGGTTAACATCAAGACATCCGTTTTGAAGGATTGATTCCATTTGACTTATCTTCTGTTTCTCCAGCTTCTGTATCTCCTCGAGCATTTCTTTACCTTTGCCCTGCAAAAAGAAACATCTATTTCACTAAAAGATATGGAGTACATAGTGATTACCCTAACATAATTCTGTTCTACAGTCCATATATTAATCTTTTAAGAATTTCTAGGGTGCACACTTGTATTGGTACAAGTCAGCACCCTGACAGGTTTTCTTAGATACCTTTCCTAATATCTAGCATTCACTTCATCTCCCTACACCCTTCTGATGGATTGAAAATAAAATTAAAGCTGCTTCAGATATTTATGTTACCAAAACTTAAGTGAGCATATGACTGACTTATCTTTAAGAACACATATCTGTAAATAGGAGAGATGCTACTGTTCAAAGTAAGCAACTCCTTTTCTGCTTCACCTTTGTGTACAGCTATCTTTGTCATCTTGTTTCCTTTCCTGTCCATACCAAGCAAGGATGAAAGGCAAGCCCTCCTTTCTGCCTGAGACCTGAAGAGTTTTAAGTACTCTTACCACGAGTTGTCTATTCCCTTGTGGCTGCTCAAGCATTTCCCCCTTATGTGACTGGTGCAGGACTCTGTGGTGGACAGCTTTTTAAAGGTGAGCCATGCAGATACTTACCTGGGCCTCAGCCTGGGAGTACAGTACAGTGCTGGCTGCAGTTTGAAACATGCCTGCTAGATGCCAACACAAGGGGCTTCTGGGGCACTACACTGTTCTTTGCCATCCATCAAAGGGCATTAAATGGCACTGCATTAACAAAATGTGAGCAAGGAGCTTATATAAACCACCTGCTTGCATTGAAATCTAATTCAATCAACATACCTCATTAGTTTCCATAACTACAGCAGCACTTTCATGTTTTTTATAGAGCTCATGTCTTCGATCTGGCTTACTCTGGAAACGTGGTTGCTTCTTAACTGGATCATCATGACCAAATGTAGGGGACGTAGTTTTTAATAACTGAGTAATATCGGGCACAAAAATGAAAGGCTTGAATACAGACCTAGAAAGAGAAAATATAACAGAGATCCTTTACTGACCCAGTTTTGTTAAAATTGTTGAGTCAGTATTTTCCCCCATTCTTCTACTTCCTTCTTTCAAGAAGGAAGTATTAAAAAACCAATCTAACTGATGTCTAAGTCAGTGTCACAGCAGTATTTCACTAAGTAGGTTGGTACAGAGCATTAAGGTACATAATACATTATGTTCCTCCTACATTTGATTCTGCTTTTTCAGGGGGGAAAGAAAAACAAAGCAAAAAGGAATACAATTAGACAAACTGCAGCACTTTTTCATTTAGATATTTGCAATTTTTTATCCTATTTACTTGCTGCTATATCACCTTGCTGGATCTGGAGTTCCAGTAAAGTAGTGAATACAGGGCAGATTAGGCTGCTGAGGCAGTACAGACACCATGCTGCCAGTTGTCATAAATCCACCTTCCATGTTAATGCCACTCTCTTTGTCACGAAGAATTTCCATCATTATTTCAGAAGTGATAGATCCTATTTAAGATACAATACAATTATTTAGACACAGAGCTACCTATAATACCAACTAAATGCCATGTTCACTACAACTGGCTGCTTTTTCCTTTAATAGGCAATGCCAGTTTTAGTTTGTCTGTGTTGGCAGGAAAAAAAAGTCATCCTAATGGCATACCTTAATAGCTAATACACGTATAAATGTTACTGCTTTCCCCAAAGTGATAATGCACTATAATATGACTTAAAAAGGGGGGAGGATGAATACAAGTGGTATTTCCCAGACAGGTAAATTACATATGACTAGCAAATGGCCATTCACAAAGTAACTGTTCAGATGAAAATTAGTAGCTTGGATTAAATGCTGAACTCTGAGGACTGTGTGGAAGTTAAGTCATTACAATACTGTTTGGTATTTGAACAGAGTTAATACCACTGTGTTGCTTTGAAAATATAAAAATAATAACCACTATGCATGGATTTTGTGTGAAACTTTGAAAACGAAACACCAAGACTGTCACTTGTTTTTTGGGTCTGGTTTTGGTTTGGTTTTTTTGGTGGCTTTTTTTTTTTAATGTATTTTCATCCTCCGACCTTAAAAAGCACTTAGGCTTCAAGTTGACAATCAAAAGGATGCACTGGAATAACATGTTCTATATTCAGAATCAACAGAAACTAAAGTAGTACATTCATTTGTAAAGAAGTCTTAATCAGCACCCTGTGTGAGGTATAGTGCCAAGTGTCTGTGAAAATAATTCCTTCTCAGGTGAAACAAAGCCCTTTCCACATATGCCTCTGCATCCAGTGTTCAAATGATATTTCTGCTCATGCATAGCATACACTGAAGCTCAGATACTGGCATGGTATCACCAAGCCATCCAATATTCTAACAGGCAGCACTTGCAGAAGTTTTCACATTTGGTGTATCAGTAGAGGGTATACCTCTGGTACAAAAACAGTTCATTCACTTTTTTTTTATTTGAAGGTATCATCTACATTTTTAATATTTTAATGTTTCCCTCAGTGAGTTCTAACTGCATAAAGATTCTTCTTTTAAACTGCCTTGCTGTTTCCTTTCAAAGTAATTGCGTGTAAGTCAGATGTCTTCAATACTGTTTTTTCATGCATGATCCAAATTGCCTGTAGACAGGCATGCAGCACTACATTTCAGCAAGGAAACACTCTTAAGTATTCCCACAGTTGCCTGGGAAAGTCGGAGAATTAAAGAAATCAGCAAGCTAGACAAAGAAATTAAAAGAAGCAAAGGTCAGTTTGTCAACTGCAGCTTGGCAATCTGTCCAGCAGGAAAGAAGGTACTGCACATTTTCCATTAGAATTTATTATAATTTTGTATGCCTGAAATACATTCCCTATTTTTTGAAATAAAAATAATATTTATCTAAAAATGGTCTTCACATGGTAGGTAGCCTGAAAAAAACCCACAACTGTAATGCCACCGAGTGAAAAAGCGGGGAAGGGTAGATGAAGAAACCAGTGATTTTACTGAAGCTGTAAACCAAATAGCTTTTAGTTAGGGCACCTATTTAAAATAAATCTAAACAAAGTGAGCCATATAAGGCTGATAACCTGAACACCTAGTGGGATTTTTCAAATAGCTCAGGTAAATGCTTGAAAATGGGGATTTAGAATGAAAACGCAGATAGACTCTTAGCGTTGTTTAAATACAGGTATTATGAAAATGCTTTCAGTATTCAGAACCTGCAATTCCCAAAATGAATGCAGGATTTACATGATCACTAGAGCAAAATTGCAAAAGGTAATTCACTCTGATGCATTAACTAAATGCTAAACCTGGTCTGGCAGAGTTCAGCTAAATAAGTAAGAAAAAAACGAAGAGGTGCAGTGTAATCCTGGTTCAGATTAATTCCTTCAAATGAGCAAGTGAATACAGATGCAGTTAGAAGCGAAGTAATAGCTTCTTTCTCTGGAGGTCTGAAAAATAAGTGAGTAAGTTTAGTGATTAGGAGCACCTGCTTAGAGTACAGAACATTATTTTCTTCTGCTCTCAGTGTGTTTTATTAGACTACACAAGATTAGAGTAGCAGCTACAGTGAAACTACAAAGACTTAAAAACCAATGTCAAAAATAAATGCAAGATATGTATCTGAGTGCTGTGCTGTTGCCTGAGGCCTATATGAATGGTACCAGACTGAAGTTGTTCATAAGGTTCTTTGTGGCTGCAAACCACTGGAAGTCTGTTTTAGCCTCTATTTTTTTTTCCTTAGAAGTAGAGTAATAATGCATAGCCTATCAAAATGTTTCAGAACAGGTCTTACACAGTATTTAGTGATATGGTCATAATGTGATCTCTCACGATTGTTGCTGTTGCTGTGTGTGTTTGATATTTGACCCTTGTTTTAATTTTTCCTCGTGAACATACTGTCAAAAATGGATAGAAGATTTCAAATTCAGCACTTCTCCTTTAGGCAAAAAGTTATTCTAGTAAGTTCTGGTTCACCAAGTCATATGAATAATTGCCTGCATCAGATGTATAATCATTTATGATTAACATAGCTCACTAAATACTTTGCATATCTTGAAAAAGAATATATATAAAAATTATACCTTTATGTTTGTTCAGAAGTTTATAGCCTTCACAATATCGGCCTCTGGTTGTGGTCATTCTGGCAGTATTGACATAAGAATATGTGGCAGCGAAATCAAATTCCTTTTCCCCATCCCACCAGCCATTGCTTTTAGCATATTCCTTCAATTTTGGGTGTTCTCTGTCAATCTTGGTTGTGATAGAGAGCTGGTTGGAAATATTACGTACACCTCCTGTTTGTAAATTGAGGAAAGAACTGTTTCAATACATAGAATGATTTTTCTTGGGATTTTGTTTACAATTACTTTACTAAAGCAAATTAGCAATGAAGAGTTTCCTGTAAGATCTTTGAGTCCCGTGGTTTATTTTTGGCCCTGTCTCCCTAGCTATATGTATTCTTCTGATTGAAATTCCACTGCCACTCAGTTCTGACTCATTTGCTCCTATTGCCAACATTGTACTTCAGGTTCTGTCCTGATTATTCCCATCTTTACATTCTTCCTCTTAAACCTCCAAAGACATAGCCTGTCCTTCTAAATCCACTGGAAGAATCAACTTCTTCAAGGCCCAATACAGCAATCCTGTCACCAAATGAAATTGCCATTGATTGCCACCATCCCTATGACCATACATACTGCTGTCATTCTCATGCTGACCTTTCTGTCCTCTGTATTCCAAGTGCAGGAGTGGGTACCTCTGACTCTGAAAAGGCCCTGTCACTGAGCTCCTCTGACAGACTGCTTGCCACTCCACACTCATGCCCTAGGAAGGAACTCCTGTTTACAGGCACATGTATGTAGCTGGAAGTTAGTTTGATGCCTTAATGAAATGGTAAATGAAAAGTGGAGAACTGCCAATTGTCATTGCATTTGAAATGTTTAAAACAAAGAGCATTATCCATACCTTCTACTTTTTCTGCTGCCCAGTATTTTCCTGATGTCTCCAGCACCCATGCTTCCTTTCTGTCAGCTATCAGAAAACTGTTATGGTATGTAAATGTCATGTGGCTCTCCATACAGTTTCCTCCCTGTCCATATTTTTCCAGCAAATCAACTATGACAGTAAGAGCCTTTTCAGCTGTGTCTGCTCTTTCAAGTCCAAGCCTAAAAAAAAAAAAAAAAAAAGGAAGATATTATCTTTGGAACTATAAACTCCACATACAGCTATTCGGCTTGAGTATTCAAATTGACCTGGAATGCTATTTCTATATGTACCTGACACTTGTATGATCTGGTAAGAGAAATGAGCTTAAAGGGCTTCTTTGAAGTAGGTCCTCAAAGTGCTTGACGTGGGGAAAAACACCAAATGGAAATACAGAAAAGCAGGGAGAAGGCTCCTACAAAATGCCTGCAAGTCCTGTGTGGGTATTGGACTGGGGGGAAACAGTACCACGAAGAGTTGACTGGCTGCTGTAGGTTAATGAGAGTTACACTGGCACCCAGTGGGGTAGGCACATGAAGCTGTTGTTATTTACACAGAGAGGTGCAGCTAAGACTGAAACTTAAAATTATGTGTGTGTAAGATGGGGGAAATAGGAAATGAGTACAGACCCTAGAAAAAGGCCCAAAGACTAGTTCCTGAAGTCTACCTGTGCTCTTAAAAGAATTGTTTCAGTTTAGTATAAACTTTTATATAGAGAAAAATTTTGCTAATTTCCTTGACAGATTCTGGTCTAATGCCTGATACCTCTTGTGGGCTCCTGGCAGAGATTTAATGCCTGTGCCAATAAGTACTTATTTTCAACCATAGCTAGAATAGTGGAAGAAGTGTTTTCTGAAAGTGAAAGGACATATTTCCCCATATAACTCAAACCAAAGGTTTCCACGTTAAATTCCAAATCCGAAATACCATTCACCAGAAAGGCCTGTGCAAACCTTACGAGGTCCATGCCGAGGAGAGCTTCGCTGTCGCAGACCTCTTCCCTGCCCCACACGGCTTCGTTCCCGATGCACACGCCGTGCTCGTTGGCTCCCATCTCCGCGCCCCAGAGCCATGCGGGGCGGCTCAGCACCACGGCGTGGGTCCGCTCCGCCTGCTCGATGCTGATGTAGGTGCACTGCAAGGGGTCAGAGCACACCGCGGGTCACCGGCCAAATCGCGGGCTAAGCACGCAGGCAGCGGGGTGAGAGGGGTGTTTTCGCCACCTCCCGCAGGACTCGTCCTGCCCTCACCTCCAGCGCGGTGCCGGGCGGGTGCGTCGCGGCCGGGAAGTGCACGACCTCCTGCACCTCGTCCGCCGGCCGGTCCGAGTTCTTCCCGAACACCACGCGGCCCCCGGCCGCGGCGGGCGGCAGCGCCACGAAGGTGTCGCAGGAGCGGGGCGACGGCCAGGGCGACATTGTGGCGGCGGCGGCCGCTGAGCGGGCCCGGCGGGGACAGCGGCGGTACCGGCGGCGGGGCGGGGCCGGCGGCGCCCGCGGAAGACCCGCCCGCCGACCCGGAAGGCCCGGCCGAGGCGGCCCCGGAGCATTCCAAGCCCTGTCCGTGCTCCCCTCCCTGTGTCCGTGAGGGAGCTGGTGGCTCCCTCGCTCCCTGCCCGCCGCCGCCATGGGGAAGTCGTTCGCCAACTTCATGTGCAAGAAGGATTTTCACCCCGCCTCCAAGTCCAACATCAAAAAGGTGAGGAGGGGGTGACGGGCTCCCGGCACCGCAGCGGCACGAGCGAGGCTCGTCGGCGTCCTGGGATGGGACCGGGGCTGGGGCAAAGAGAAAGGAGGGAGCAGGGAAAATAGGAAATACTTGAAACTTCGAGTTTTCGTGTCCACAAGTGTGTAGGACTGTCGCGTTTTCCTGGCTCCAGCTTTTCAACACCTGATCCTCAGGATAAATAGGCACCGTACACCGTACAGAAAACCACCTGTCACGATTGTGCCCGTGTTTCGTCCGTATTTCACACCTAACCAACAGGTCTCTCCTCTCCAGAACTGTGTCCTGGACTTTCGAGAGAACCTGGGGTTTGGAGTCTGGGGGACTTCGGCGAGGGAGTGACACTCCAGGGGAAACAGTGACATGCTCAGGGTGTTTTCTGAGCTGACTTTTCTCTTTGAGTTACCAAATTTTCTCCTGTCTTTTCAGTTTGTAAACGTTGTTGGGAGTTGCAGTTTCTCAAAATTACTGCTTGTGGGGAGTTGCAATACTGGATTAAAATAATGTATTTTATGTGATTAGAATGGTAGTCTTCTCTTGTTAAGTATAGATTACGCCAGTTGAGTTTTTATACATTAATGTATTTTTCGATAGTTTTTGTATTTGTTTAAAATGGAAACCTAATTGTTTTAATTAGGTATGGATGGCGGAACAGAAGATATCATATGATAAGAAGAAACAAGAAGAATTAATGCAACAGTATTTGAAAGAACAGGAATCCTATGATAATAGGTGAGAACTGGCATAAGATCACAGACTTCTTCCTGCTGTTTCTTGTTTTCATGGTAGTGAAGGCCATTTTACTGTGAGCAATTTGAACTCCTGTTGACAGTAGTAGGAGGAGAGGATAGTGACTTATAAAGCAGAGGTCACAGGAACTTCTTTAAAGTGGCCTGCATTTGTCTTCTAATTAGTTGCAAAATATGTTGCACAGAACAGCAGAAAACCTTGTATAGTTATACATTTATATCACATAGAAATCTGTGTTCTTAATTCTGTGGACACAGGGTTATGTTTCAGTTGTGATTGAAATGTATGATTTTTGGTACACTATGGAGCATGCAAAAAGATTGACTGGTCTCTCAGGTCTGGTCTCTTGATACTCAGCTTTTGTTACTTACATTAAGAAATGAAAAAATGCCAGTTACAACAATTTCATACTGCATGTTTCTTTTTGTTTTAGTAAATGATATGGGTGTGACTGTTTTGTGTGTAACACCTCAGGCTCTGCCCTTTTTATTTAGGTTGCTTATGGGTGATGAGCGTGTGAAGAATGGTCTTAATTTCATGTATGAAGCCCCACCTGGAGCAAAGAAAGGTACTGTGGTTTCCTGATTCTGAGCAGACAGTACTGCGAAACTAAAAACCTTCTGAAGAAATAAGCACAATGGTTTTTATTTTAAAATAACATGTTCATGGTGAGGTAATGCTAGGAGGTATTATTATTTTAGTTCTTCCTGTGGGAATATGTGGACATATATGTAGTATGTAATAATTTTGATCTCACACTTCTTTAATTTCTTTCAAAGAGAATGGTTGAGGTTTTTTTAAGCAGTGGTTCAGTGTGAAGGGGAAAAACAGATAAAATATCCTTCCAGGAAAAAGCATAAATTCTGTCCTTGACCAAGGGTGTTTCTTTAGCCAATTATAAAGCTATAAAGATGGGGAGGACTAGGCCTTACCAAGGCAATGACTTGGACAACACAAAACTGTATTTTGGCCTACTCTGCTTTGTAGAAATAGCAGGTTGCTTTTGTTTAAAAGTTGTGCCCATAATTCAGTTTGTTACTTGTCAAACTTAGGAAATAGCGGCGCAAAAATTTAATTTGCAGAAGTTATATAAGTAATAAATACTGAGATTCTCTAGTCAAAAGGGCTGCCTGACCTGTCTCTGGGGGATCTGACCATGCCTGTGTAGTACTGTCATAAACAGAAGTTGCTAAGTACCTGCTAAACTTTTAAAAAATATTTTAAGTATTGTTACTACTCTTGGAAAAATATATTTAAAATTTTTTACTTGTATGACAAATCAGTATAATTTTAGAAGATGATTCTGGGTTTAGAGGATTTATAATTGTATACTAGAGACTGATTATTTTAAGTGCACTCTATTTAAATAAAGCTGCTTTCTGAGTATTTGCACTATTGATAAGTATAAACCATAAAATGTTTTGTCTTCAGCTTAGACACCACCTGTATTTTACATACATAATTAACATATCATTTCTTTTCTTTGCATGATTTCTGAAAATTCAAAGAGGAAACAAAAGAGGTATGTCATTAAATCATTTCTTTAAGTTTTCTTCCCACTTACTTAAAACATATTCTAAAAAAAAATTAAACTTACCATGTTTTCTGTTTTATAGCAAGAAGGAGAAACTGAATACAAATTCGAATGGCAAAAAGTTGCCCCTCGAGAAAAGTAAGATTTCTGGATTTTATCTGAATAAGTTTTTTTTTCTTCTTACTTACCTTTTATATCCTTTTCCTCTTTTTCTTTTTTTTTTCTCTATTTTGTTTTTGAACAGGTCACTTGTGTGATCTTTTCATGTCCTGACGTTTAATTAGTAAAACCTGCAAACCTGGAACTATTTCCTTGCTCAGCTTTGGGTTTTTTTTGACTTTTACATCCGTATTTGAAAATACATTAAAAACAATATTTACAAGAATTATATCTCTGAAATGGACATAAACTTAACAACAAAAATTAGTTTTGTGTATGTTTTTTTTTTTTTAAATAACAGTGAATTGAGTATTTGTTTTCTTTTGTGTTTGTGTAACAGATATGCTAAGGATGATATGAATATCAGAGATCAGCCATTTGGTATCCAGGCAAGTTACATAAATTTCACTCTGTGGATGTCTTGAGTATGTTTCAAATGTTATGTAACTGCAGAACATTCACATGGACTCTCTTAATTTTGTCGTCTGTTTCTCAGTGAGTTTAAAAGCTTCTCTTATGCCTAATAATGCAGATATTTCTGTAAATTTTAGGTTGTATTTTTAGCTAAATTGTGTCAACTGTTTTTTTCCCTTTAGGTGCGGAATGTGAGGTGTATCAAGTGCCACAAGTGGGGTCATATAAACACTGATCGAGAATGTCCCTTATTTGGCCTTTCTGGAATTAATGCGAGTTCAGTCTCCAGTGATGGTTCAGGTAGGCAGTGAATGTCTTTTAAATGTGCTGCTTAGACACTTGGGGGGAACTCATCACGTTTAATTTTAGGAGGTATAATTTTATATTTCAAAGAGTTGATGAAATGGGGAAAACAGTTAATTCCGAATGTAGGATCCACAATTTTGAGTTAATTATTTCAAATTGCAGGGACCTAATTTTTAGATTAATAACACATTTAAAAAGACTCCATAATGACTGTTGCTTTGATCCTGTCCGTGGCAAAAATTGAGAAGCTGCAATGAGACTTTTTATATCAGAATGGCAAAATTTTTGTCACCAAAAAAAATGAATGGATTGTCAGACTGTCTCAGTTCAAATTCAAGCAAACTGCATGAAAAAGCTGGAATATATCACTATATCTTTATTAATCACTTGGTAAAAGGAGAGGTTTATGGGATTTTTTTATGTAGTTGTGCTTCTGTAAGTGGATTTCCAAACACCTGGTTTCCTTTCAGCTGGCTTCTTGTTGCTTCTTGAACTACAATTTTTTTCTTCTATTAGTTTTCCTGTTACTTGAAGTCACACATCATTTAGTGTTAGATTAGGTCTAAAGAAGTGGATATGAGCATTCAAATTGAGGTTTGTTTTTTTTTGCCTACAGTACTTCGTTTTCTGTGAGTTGACCCAATTCTTAAAATTGTGGCACGTTAAAGAAACATTAGGTAGCATGGGAGAGTCTTTAGCATTGCTGTACTGTTGCTTTAAAGCCATGTGTTGTATCTTGAATTTTGCAGGGATACCATTACAGTGGCACACTTGATAGCATCAGGTTTTCTTCTATCTTTGTTGAGGTTATAACAATTTTATGTAGTATTTAGGCTACAAACAATCTTGGTTTTCAGAATTAGGTCACTTAGATATATAGTTTCTTTGAGATGGAGCCTGGAAGACTTGAGTTAAAGGAAATGGTGTTTCTTACTCTTCTTTTAGGCATTGTCTGGTGATTATGCCATCACATTACTCATCCTGTAGTTGACTTGCTCAGCCTTTCTATTCAATAGGTTATAATATTAAATCATTTTCTTGCCTTAGAAAAAATTGTGCTTAGAGCATTGTAGCTCTTGCATGTCAGATATCCTTCTGTGCTACAGAACTCACTCCCACCCCCCCCAGTTCAAATGACGTGTAAATTTTAGGAGTGTTTGGTTGAAAAAGCAGAAGGTATTTGTACACGCTTGCACAAACCTGAATGTGGACTCCTTATTATTCAGCACAGTGTAATACAGACACATTGCAGTGCCAGTAGAAGAAGAACTGCTTCTTTCAAACCTTATGAGCTAACTATGTAGGTGTAGGCAACGTTTGACTGCTGTGGGTGTTTCCCGGTTGGAAAGATGTCCTCCAGATTGCTTTTTAAACTGTCTTTCTAAGCCTGAAGAGAGGATTTTGCATGTATGATGAATTTTGCATGAAGGAAAGTGATGTAAAACTACTTAGATGTTCTCACACTGCACCACTGCCCTCTCATTTTCAACTCTGGAACTTAGAAGGTGGTGTGCTATGCTGATTGTAGGCTGAGGAAGGATTTCAGGGAATAGGGGTGGGCGACAGATCAGGATTTGTATATATAATTTGTGAGA